TCCAGTCTTATATTTAGGACTTAGATCCATTTTGAGTTTATTTTTGTGTGTGGGAGTAGAGAATGTTGTAATTTCATTCTTCTATATGTAGCTCTCCAGCTTTCCCAGAACCATTTATTGAAAAGACTACTCTCTCTCCATTGTATATTCTTGCCTCTTTTGTCATAGATTAGGTGACTCTAAGTACATGGGTTTATCTCTGGGCTTTCTGTCCTGTTCCACTGATCTGTGTTTCTGTTTTTATGTCATTACCAGTGTTTTGATGACTATAGCTTATAGTGTAGTCTGAAGTCAGGGCACCTGATATCTCCAGCTCCACAAGATTTCTTTCACAAAATTGCTTTGGATATTTGGAGTTTTTCATGTTTCCATAAAAATTTTGGACTTCTCTGGTAGCTCAGAAGGTAAAGAATCTGCTTGCAATACAGGAGATCCAGGGTCAGTGCCTGGGTCAGGAAACTCCCCTGAAGAAGGAAATGGCAGCCCACTCTAATATTCTTGCCTGGAGAATCTCACCAACAGAGGAACCTGGTGGGCTGCAGTCCATGGGGTCACAAAAAGTCAGACACAACTGAGCAACTAACACTATAAATTTAAGACTTTTTTTTGTCCTAATTTTGTGGAAAATGCCATTGTAATTTGATAGGGATTGCACTGAATCTTTAGATTACCTTGGGTAATATAGTCATTTTGACAATATTGATTCTTGAAATTGAACAACATGGTATATCTTTTCATCTGTTTGTGTCATCTCTTATTTATTTCATCATTGTTTTATAGCTTTTGAAGTATAGGTCTTTTGCCTCCTTGGGTAGGTTTATCCTTAGGTATTTGATTATTTTTGATGCATTAGTGAATGGAATTATTTCTTTAATTTCTGTTTCTGACCTTTCATTGTTCATGTTATAAATGCAACAGGTTTCTTGTTTTGTATCCTGCAAGTTTACTTAATTCATTGATGAGCTCTAGTACTTTTCTGGTAGCATCTTTAGAATTTTCTAAGTATAATGTCATGTCATCTGCAAGCAGTGACAGTTTTACTACTTTTCCAATTTGTATTCCTTCCTTTCTTTTCCTTCTCTGATTGCCATGGCTAGGACTTCCAAAACTATGTTGGAAAAAGTAGCAAGAGTGGACATCCTTGTCTTGTCCCTGATCTTAGAGCAAATGTTTTCAGTTTTTCATCTTTGACTGATGTTGGCTGTAAGTTTGTTATACATGGTCTTTGTTATGTTGAGGTATATTTCCTCAGTGCCTACTTTCTGGAGTTTTCATCATAAAATGGGTGCTGAATTTTGTCAAGTTTATTTTTTTCTCCATCTATTGAGATGGTTATATGGTTTTTAGTCTTTAATTTGTTAATGTGGTGTATCACACTTCCTGATTTGCAGATACTAAAAAATCCTTGCATCCTTGGGATAAATCCCACTTCTTTGTGGCATATGATCTTTCAAATGCATTGTTGCATTTGGTTTGCTAGTATTTTGTTAAGAATTTTTGAATCTATATTCATCAGTGATACTGACCTGTAGTTTTCTTTTTTGTAGTATCTTTGTCTTTGGTTTCAAGGTAATGATGGCCTCAAAGAATGAGTTTGGGAGTGTTCTTTTTTGTAATATTTTGAAAAGGATAGGTGTTAACTCTTCTGGAAACATTTTATAGAATTTTCCTGTGAACCCAGACTGGTTCTGAACTTTTGTGTGAATTTTTTAATCACAGTTTCAATTTCTGTCCTTGGATTGTCTATTAATATTTTCTATTTCTTCCTGGTTCAGTCTTGGAACATTGCATCTTTCTAAGAATTTGTTCATTTCTTCTAGGTCATCCCTTTTGTTAGCATATAGTTGCTTGTAGTATTCTCTTTTAATCCTTTGTATTTCTGTGGTGTCAGTTGTAACTTTTCCTTTTTAATTTCTAATTTTATTAATTTGAGCTCTCTTTTTTTTCTTGCTTAGGCTAGCTATAAGTTTATCAATTTTGTTTATCTTTTCTAAGAACCAGGTTTTAATTTATCTTATTGTTTTCATCATCACTATTTCAATTTTTTCTGCTCTGATCTTTATGATTTCTTTTGTTCTACTATCTTTGGCTTTGGTTTGTTATTCCTTCTTTAGTTGCTTTAGGTGTAAGTTATTTGTAATTTTTCTCATTTCCTGAGGTAAGAATGTATTGCTATAAACTTCCCCTTTCAAACTGCTTTTGCTGCATTCCTTAGGTTTTGGATTGTCATGATTTCATTTTTATATATCTCAAGGTATTTTATATTTTGATTTCTTTAGTGATCCATTGATTGTTTAGTACCATATTGTTTAGCCTCCATGTGTTTGTTTTTTTTACATATTTTTCATGTAGTTGATTTCAAATCTCTTTACATTGTGGTCGGAAAAGATGCTTGATCTGATTTCAATTTTCTTAAATTTAATGAGGTTTACTTTGTGGCCCAGTGATTAACTCTGAAGAACATTCTATGTACACTTAGTATATTCTGCTGCTCTTGTATGGAATTCTCTATAAATATCAGTTAAGTCTATGTTGTCTCATGTGTCATTTAAGACCTCTGTTTCCTAATTGATTTTCTTTCTGGATGATCTGTTCATTAATGAAAGTGGGGTGGTGTTTATAAAGTTCCCACTGTTATTGTGTTACTATTGATTTCTTCTTTTATGGCTATTAGTTTTTGCCTTATATTTTGGGGTGCTCCTATACTGGGTGTGTGTATATTTGCAGTTGTTATATCTTCTTAGATTGATCATTTGATCATCATGTGATATCCTTCATTGTTTCTTGTAAACAGTCTTTAAAGTCTATTTTGTTTCATATGAATATTGCTACTCCAGCTTTCTTTTGATTTCCATTTGCATGGAATATATTTTTACATCCGCCACTTTCAGTCGGTATCTGTCCCTAGAATTGAAGTGGGTTTCTTGTAGACAGCATACATGCAGGTCTTGTTTTTGTATCCATTCAGCCAATCTGTCTTTTGGTTGGAGCATTTACATTTAAGGTAATTATAGATACTTGTGTTATTATTGCCATTTTGTTAATTGTTTTGGATTTATTTTGTAGGTCCTTTTGCTTCCCTTCCTCTTTTATTCTCTTGTGATTTGATGACTGACTTTAGCATTGTATTTGGATTTCTTTTTCATTTTTGTTTTGTATATCTAATGTAGATTTTTGGTTTGAAGTTACCATGAGGTTTTGATATAGCAACCTATATATAAACATAATTGCTTTTTAAGTTGCTGTTCTCTTAATTTCAAATGCAGTTCCAATATTCTGCATTTGTACTATTCTCATGATTACTGATTTTGTTATCATATTTGTGTTTGGATGATTTTCTGCCTTTATGTTTACCTTTACTGGTGAAATTTTCTATTCATTATTTTCTTGTTTTTAGTTGTGGCCTTTTCTTTTCTAACTGGAGAATGTCCCTTAGAATATGTTGCAAAATTGGCCTGGTGGTTCTGAAGTTTCTTATCTTTCATTTTTCTGTAAAGCTTTTGATTTCTCTGTGAATTCCAAATTAGAGCCTTCCTTGGTAGAGTATTTTGGTTTTTAGGTTCTTCCCTTTCATCACTTTAAATATATTGTGCCAATCCCTTCTGGTCTGTAGAGTTTCTGCTGAAAAAAATCAGCTGATATCATTATGGAAATCCCCTTGTATGTTATGTTGCTTTCCCTTGTTAATTTTATTATTTTCTCTTTGGCTTTAGTTTTTGTTGACTTGATTACCATGTCTCTCTCTCAGGATGTTTCTCTTTGGGCTTTTCCTGCCTGGAACTCTGTGCTTCCTGGACTTGGGTTTATGTTTCGTTTCCTATGTTAGGAAAGTTTTCAGCTGTCATCTCTTCTAGTATTTTCTCAGGTCCTTTCTGTCTCTTTTCTCATTTTGACCCTGCCATAGTGGTGCATTTAATGTTGTCCCAGAGGTCTCTGAGACTGTCCTCATTTCTGTAAATTCTTTTTTATTGGTTCTGTTCTGCAGCAGTGGTTTCCACCATTTAATCTTCTAGCTCACTCATTTTCCTGCTTTGTGTATTCTGCTATTGATTCTTTATAGTGTTTTTCATTTCAGTTATTATTCATCTCCATTTGTTCTTTCAATCTTCTAGCTCTTTGTTAAACATTTCTTGCATCTTCTCAATATGTGCCTTTCTTTCCCCAATATTTTGGATCATCTTTACTATCATTACTCTGATTTTTTTTTTTTTTTCCCAGGTAGATAGCCTGCCTTCAGTTCACTTGGTTGTTCTTCTGGAGTTTCATCTTGTTCCTTCATCTTGGACACATTTCTTCTGCTGTCTCATTATGTGTAACTTTCTGTGATTATGGTGTTCATTCCTCAGGCTGCAAGGTTATAGTTGTTCTTGCTTCTGCTGCCTGCCTCCTCGTAGATAAGGCTGGTCTAAGGGGCTTGTGCTGGCTTCTGGTGGGAGGAACTGGTTCCTGCCCACTGGTGATTGAGCTTGGCCTTGTTCTTCTGGTGGATAGGGCCTTGTCAAGTGCTGTGTTTATCAAGCAGCTGTGGGCTCAGGAAGACTTTAGTCAGCCTCCCTCCTGAGGAGTGGGCTGTTTTCCCACCCTGTTGGTTGTTTGGTCTGAATCATTTCAGCCTTAAGGCTTTTGGGTGGGCCAGGTCTTGGTGAGAAAATGGTGACCTTCTGGAGGGCTCTTGCCAGTGAGTACTCTTCAGAACTACTGCCACCAGTATCTTTCTCACTGCAGAAAGCCTCACCCCATCCCACCCCCGAACCTCTGCTGGAGACCCTTCAATGCCAGCAGGTAAATCTGGCTCAGGCTTTTATGAACTCACTGCCTTTTCTCCTGGGGCCTGGTGCACATGAAATCTTGTGCATGCCCTCCAAGAGTAGTTTCTGTTTGTCGCAGACCTGTGGAATTCCTTTGATCAAACACTACTGGTCTCCAAAGTCAGCTATTCTGAGGATTCTTCTTTCTGGTCATAGGCCTCCAGGCTGGGGTGCCTGATGTGAACCCTGTGGGAGAACCTCTGTGATATAGCTGTTTTCTAGTTTGTGGGTCTGCCACCTGGCAGATACGGGTTTGACTTTATTGTTATTGCACCCCTCCTACCATCTCATTGTGGCTTTTTCTTTATCTTTGGATATAGGATATATCTAGGTAGATTCAGTGTTTTTGTTTTCTTCTCAGTGGTTGTTCAGCAGTTCTTTGTAGTTTTGGTATTTTGGTGAGAGGGGGAGAACTCAGGTCTATCTACTCTGCCATCTTGTTTACATCTCCCTAAGCCTGGCGTGCTGTGATTCATGGGGTTGCAGAGTCAGACACGACTGAGCGAATGAACTGAACTGAAGCACCATTTTAGTAACTAGTGCTTTTTATTTCCTTGATAGCAATATGTCCTCTCTTATTCACTAAATTCTTATGTATAAGGGTATATTGCTTAGCTATACTGTATGTGGTGGTGGTGGTGGTTGTTGGTGGTTTAGTTGCTAAGTTGTGTCTGACTCTTGCAGCCCCATGGACTGTAGCCCACCAGGCTCCTCTGTCCGTGGGATTTTCCAGGCAAGGATACTGGAGTGGATTGCCATTTCCTTCTCCAGCTTTATGTTTTACTAATCTTTTATGCTATTTTTTTAAATTTTTATACTATTTTTTATTTTTTAATTTTTATACTATTTTGCCAGGATGATATTTTAGCTGTTATAGACTTTAATATGTGTGTAATCCATCCTCATTAATTGCCTTTAAAAAAGCTTACATATCAAACAAACAAACAAAAAATAGATGTTTTTACTTGTTTGTTAACCTAGTTACAATTAAAATAGGATAATTTCAAGTTACAGCAACTTGCCATTAGGATTTAACTATTAAATCTGTAAATCTGTTAGAAAATAATTCATCCTCCCTATACCAAAAGAAACAATAATTTTTTGAAACAGATTTTTAAATATTTCAGTAAAGTGTATGTAAGGTGGTACATTCTGTGCTCAGCAAATGTTTACTAGACATCTCTTATGTTTCAGGAATGTAATGGGAGTTTAAAAAGTTAAACTATCACTGAGGCATTGTCTAGAAGGATTTCAGATAAAGAAACTGCAAAAAGTTGAGGATTAGCCAAGGGGAATATGTACTGTATAGTACTTATGTATAAAGATCATGAATCCCTGAAAAGTGATGTTTCCAGGAAAGGGGTTATGTTTCAACTGAGTTTTGGAGACTGAGAGGCAGTTAGCTGGATAAAGAAAGTGATAACTTGTTTTATGGGAAAGAAACTGAAAATGCAAACGCTCACACTTAAAAGAGCATGGGATGAAAACTAAATGGCAAAAATTTACTTGTGGCCAAAGTATAGGATATGAATCAGGACTGGTGAGCCATGAATTTGCAGTAGACAAAGATCTTATTTTCTCAAGTGGGCAATGGGTGAAATTAGTGGGTTTTTAAAAGAGAATGGATATGATCATATTTGCATTTTAGAAAGGTTTTAAAGGGGATAAGAAAGGAGTCAAAGTGAACAAAATTGGTTAATTGATAATTAATAAAAATATGTATTCAGTGAAAATATGAATGAACACTGAAACAATGAATGAAAAGTTAATGAATTACTACAGTTAGCAGCTGAAAATTAATAACTTTGGTAAGATTACCCTTATTCAGTCAAATGATTGATATAGAAGCCAGTTAAAATCGGGGAATATTTCAAAATACTGGATATATGAAATCAGACTTAATATCATTGTTTCCCAAACTAGCTATTGCTAGTTAGTAGGAAATACCATAATGTTGTTATTTGATGTGTTGGTTATTTATTCATTTGCTACCTATTTGATTAATCATAATAGTTTTCCAGGAAGTTTGGTTTGACTTGTTTTCAGGGTATAATACTATAATTCTGAAAAATAAAAACTTTGTATTTTACCTTCCAGCATTTATGTTCTTTATTTCCATTTTACTCTATTGGTTAGGATTTATGGGAAAAAAATAAAATATTGTAGTGGACATTTTTGCCTTTTAATAACAGGGGTACCCTAATATTTTACACTTAAGTTGATTCTGAAAGACATTTTTTAGCATATGAAACTTAACTCATTCCAGTCTAAGTAGGTTAAAAATTATTTGGAAGGTTTTGAAATTTTATCAAATAGCTTGCATGCTCCTACTTAAATGCAGATATGTATTTTATGATTGGTTGATATCATTTTATAGTAGTCAATGATTTTTAAATCATGCTTTTGAAAAAATCTTCATGCCTATGATATTTTATTCTGATATAGTGCCGAATTTTATTTTCTGTATTTTGTGAAGTATTTAAAATATTTATGGCCATATTGCTGTATTACTTTATATTGTGCCTACTGTGCTTTATATTCAAAGATATAACCATGGGATAGTGTAAAATCTTCAAAATATTACACAAAAATATTTAGTTATGTTAACTGGTTCATATTTAACGGGTTTAGAAAACAAATAATTTTGGATTTTTATCAATAAAAATCATCATTGAATTACATGTCCTCGAGCAAATCTTTCTCTCTCTGGGACTCATCTGTGAAAATAAGGGGTCTGGGATATAAGAACTGTAATGTTCTTAGAACTCCAGTTCTAGCTTTCGGCAAACTTGTATTCATTAGGAAATCCCTCTTGCTTTATGCTAAAAAACAGTAAGACTGTGTAAGTTAGAAATGGGCCATGCTATGATGACCCTTGAAAATTTAGACTTGAGTTTCAAAAAAAAACAAAAAATTTGAAAAATCACAAGTCCATCATTAATCTACTTGGGCCCATGAGCAGTTGAAAGGGAGAAATACTGACTTTGTGATTTTGTCCTAAGTTATACTAGAGAACCATGGACCAACCATCCCTCACTGTTTTGTTCAACTTACTTGAAACGTTGAATCCAAAGAGCAGCAGATGGGGAGTCAGAAGCCCTGGATTTATATCACTCTGTAATTTGGTGGCTTGGGAATCTTAAGTCATTTAACCTCTTCAGGCATTAGATTTCTTATTTGCAAGGTGAAATATACTTAATCTTTTAGTTCTAAAGTTCTATGATATGAGAAGCAATACATAATCCCATAATAAAAATTCTTTAATTTATATAGTCACCTGGGGTTTACTTTCACATATATTGATCTTAATTGATCCTCTTCACAAAGTTTGGAGGCAAAAAGCGAAGTATTAGTGACTTTATTTCAGAGTTAGGTCTAGACTCCAGACCATTTGGTAGTTTGCCCAGCGTGCTTAGCAAGTGGCAGAGTCCCAGCTGGAGCCTAGGCATTCTGATACTTCAACTGTTCTTTTCTTTTTATGATACATTGTCTTTCACTAAGCTCTGTAATCACCCTTTTATACTTCTCAAGCATTCTGGCACATTTTCCAACTTTTTAAATTGCAGGGACCAGCTATCCTTCTTCACTTGGGTTTCATTTATAATTTTAAACTATATAACATTAACACTTTGTTCATGTATATGTTTAAATGATTTCTTGAAAAGTGCTCCATCTAACATTTATTCCTTCTTTTCCTGATTCTCTTTCAGAGAGCAGTTCTGTGGATGAAAAGGTTTTAAATCATACTTTTTCTTCCCTCCTGAGGGGTCTCGTCTTTTTGTACATGTTTGTTTGTGACATATTAGACCTGTTTTGGTTCTTCGGTTTTAGTTGTGAACTGTGCATGTTATCCCAGCTTTCCATTCATTGGTTGTCCTTTAAGTGTGCCCCAATCTGTTGCTTTTATGAAGAGATAACACCTTGCCAGCTTCGCTTACTAGAGCTTACACTTGCCAACCTAGGGGTCTGCTACTGTCAAACGCAGCATCTGTTGTTAAGTCTGGTGAATCATGATCTCTCTGATTCATGATCTTCACTGCACATACCAAGTTTTAAGGGCAAATGGTATTGGAATATGATATTTTACTTGACTCTGCCAGTGCTTTTGTTTGAATGCTGACAGCTAATTTCAAAACCTCCACCCATAAAAACACAGTAGCTTTGACTTGGAGCTGACCCTGCTTAGCATCTGTCATACTAGGTGTTACGTGTCTAGTGCAGTTGACGCGTGTTCCAAATTCATGTGTACATAGCTATAGGATGCTAAAAGTCTGTTTCTTTTGTTTCTCTCCATTCTCATTTAAGGCTCGGATAGTAAGTGGCAATGATGTGGATGCTTCCAAATTCTCTGCACTACAGGCCTTTGGTGGGTGAGTACATTCATAACCTTTCTAATTCATTCCATTCATCAATGTTTCTTGGCTATGCTCTCAACATAGGTATTTTAAGTGCAGAATGTTGCATGATGGTATAATTAGCTTGCCTTGCTGTTGCTTTCTTCTTGCAGTAAAATAGATTTATAGTGCTTTTTAAAAAGTATATAGATTTCTGAATATTTAAGTTTAACTATGAATAAATGTATCTGTATATAAAGAAGAAAATTGAAATCACCTAGCCAGAATAGATCATTCCACAGACAAGACATAACCATATAATTTTAATTACTAGTACAGTTAATACAGTGTTTTGATCTGCTTGTTTGCACTTAATGACATTTGCATGAGAATATCCTTCTGTTTCAATAAGTCAATCAATGTAATCATTTTCTGCAATTGCATTTGATGGGTGTATAAAAGTATTTAAAATGTGACCACAAAATAATGTGTTAATTATATCTTCTATGTAAAACACTTAAACAACAAAGATCTGCTTTAATGCCTCTAAAGATACAATTTGGCTCATGTGTTGTCAGGCCTTTTTCTGTGTGCTTGCATATACATGCACATATATATCCATATATATATATGTATATACATATATATTTTGTATATATTTTTATAGAATAAATAGTTTTGTATATCCCTGTACATTGAACATAAATGCCAACATACGGCCATTCTATAAATAAACAGTAACTTAGAGTTGATTTAATAGTGGGTATCATCATAGTTGTTTCATAAATAATGACTCATTTGTTCTTTACAATGGCTCTATGAGGTAAGTACTATTTTTACCACCATATATGTAGCAGATAAAAAAAAAAAGACATTTCTGTTCATACAGCTAGTAAGTAGCAAAGTGAGTGTTCAAACCAGTTAGTTCCAGAGTCTGTGATCTTAATCAGTAATACTGTCCTTCATCTTCAACTTGTGGGTTTCTTTTTCCTTACCTTTTCTATTTTACTACTTGACAACATATTAGTACCTTGGAAAACTTTCCACTTCATTATTTTTAAGTAATGGAAATATGTCAAAATATTTGTGTAATATTTGTTCATTCTTCTATTAATTTTTCCAGAATATTTCTAAGCATCATTATTGTAAATAATACTAGAACAGATGTATAATCAATTTTCAGAGTGTAGTGTGTGGACCAAAGCTTATGCACAGGATAAATAAATTGTTTATTAAGTATTGCAATTTGAACACATCTGTGTATAATAGAAATAGAAGCAAAATTTAGATATATGTTTTAGGTTGGGGCAAATAAATAGTCTCAGTTATGTTTTATAGTATTTTCATTCCTTTAAAATGAATCTTATTAAGTAACATCCACATGCTATTTACTGGAACCCATATGAAAAATTTTGTTTCAGTTTTAAAGCTCCAACATAATAAAATCATTTTTATTTGGATTTTTCAAATAAGTAAGATATTTGCTATATTATACAGACCTTTTGATGCTCTTTAAATACATGAGGAATTGCATTTATATTGGAATATCACAATAATTTAAATCTGTTATGAAAACCAACTGTGGCAAAATCTCACTATGGATTAGTTATAGAAAAGTCAGGTAGTAAATGGATTATCCTCTCCCCACTAAACCATATATACTTTCTTTAATTACTAAAAAGTGACAGTGTGACACATCAAGTAGAAGTATTTATCTTAGACAATAAGTTGAATTTCAATTTAATTTTGGGAAAAAATTGTATGTCATAGTCTTAGAGACTTATCTGAGTTTATGATATTACAGTTCTTGCAGTTCCTACCTTCCTGTGGCATTCATCACTTAATAACAACCTGCTTTCCTATCTCATGTCTGAATATGAACTTTCATCATTGTCAGTGCAAAAGGGTTAGTCTACCTAAATGTTTTGTTAAGTGTATGCTGTGTAAATGTCTAGCTACAATAGTTCATCTTTGCATTTTGATCCTTTCCACATTATTTTTCTAGAAACGTCCTCCTTCATGGACTTAGCAAGGGATTTTGGAATTATGGCGGTATGGGAAAGGGGTGATAATTTTTAGTCATCAGAAAGAATTTTTTGTTACCTGAAAATAGATTCCTCCTGAAGAACTTGAAGAATACATTTAAATGCAAATTTTCAGTCAAATTGTCTCCCAGAAATATTCGTTTCTTATTTTACTTTCCCTATAAGTATTTAAATATATATTTTAATAAAGCAAATTGTCGCTATAATTCTTAATATTAAAATTTCTATTGTCCTGGGAAACTGAGACTGGAGCCGACTTTGAAAACAGGGAGTCGTTGCTGTTTCAGGACAAGGCTGCTGCACCCTTCACCCTCTGCCTTCAGCACTGCTAGTCAGTTCCGAGACAGACCATGGCCATCCTTCCCTCTCACATCTCAAGTGTCAATAACAGTCTATATACAATGAAGTACAATGAATATACCATAACAGTCTATATACAATGAAGCCAGGTAATGTAGTTAACAATACTGCTAATTTCTGTTCATCCCTCTGTACAGTTCCTGTAAGTATTGCTGGAAAATTCATGCCAACGTTTTATTTTTCCTATCTGTCACAGTATAATTCAGACAGGTTCTGGAAGAGGAATTGGGAGAGAGTAAAGATGCTTGTTTCAGTGAAATCATACATTTAACATTTTACATTATAGTATTTTTGTGAGTTTGGTAGCTTTTGTCATTATGTAAGCTAAGGGTCTTACCAAGATACAAAAATTCGAGACCTATTGGGAGAAAACCACCTCAGATAAAGTGGGGAAACAACAGGGGTAGACAGGAAGTGCCTTGAACCATGATGCAGGTCTGATACCCTGGGGAAAGAGAAGGAGGAAGGAAAACTAGGCATGAGAAGCCTTAAGCTGACTGCAGTGAAACTGCATGAGACTACAGCGAAGTGTCAGTTAGCGGGGAGTCCTAGAGAACAGGCTGGCTGTGAGAGGAGTCCCACCCTGAGCATCTGTGGCTGGTCTGTTATGTCCATATCATTGGGTGGCAGCAGCTTGGGGAGAGAGTGGCCTGGGTAAATAAATGCTGCAGTTGGTTCTGGAGGTGTGCTAACTGAAGGCTGTCATCCAACTACTCCTAGAAGATTTCTCTGAGGAATATCTGAGTGATACTTGCCCGTGGCTGCCTGGCATCTGATAATTTGACATTATTTGAATGTCAGTTTGATGCCACTTCTTTAATCAGTGACAGTGAATGAAGGCACGTAAGTACCTTCATGAATCACTTTCAGAGTTAGACTGCCACTCCCTTGGGGCTTTAATTGCATTTACTTAAGTTCACTTTTCCCTGGATGTTTGTAGCTAGTTTTATTTTTAATTTTTTTTTTGAAGTTTAGTTGATTTGCAATGTATGTGTTTCAGGTGTACAACAAAATGAATCAGTTATACATATTCGTATAGTAGTTTTATTCATTGCATACTGGGGAGCATTTCAAGGCCTCTCTCTATACTTTTTCCTTCCTAGTCTAGAGGTGCCAGTCGTGTTGCCACCAAAATTCAGGAAAGTCTATAAAACAGTGATGGGGGGGTTAGCAGGAAAAACGCATGTAGTTTGAGAGAAGAGAGACTCATTATTTTTGTTCCCTTCTTTCTTCAGTCACCAAACTTTATCATGGTAGTTCTCATGGAAATAAATTCTCTGAATCTATGTTAAGAAAGATTTATATTCTGCCTGTGCTTCTGAGCTATGCTGTAGACACTCTCCTTAACCCCAGGAAACTGGTGATTGTTTTCTAACCACTACTAGGATTATTGAACCTGTTAGAAAAGAGGTGATGTTGAAAGAGGTAAGAAAAAGAGAAAATGGAGACATACTATTGAAGAGCAGTTATCTTTTCTATATGACAAATAGAAAAAGGTTAGCTTCTGTGTTGACCTCCCTTTCAAACAGACAAAATTGCTTTAAAAAAAATATGAAATAAGTGCCGAGATTTCCAAGGTTCAATTATTACCATGAACAAATAACTTAGTGAATGTGAGCAAGCCATTAGTCAGAATTATCATTAGTCAGAATTCTGAACAGTTCCTTTGTATTTAAGTTTACCTTAATTAAAGTCATGATTTTTGCTGTAGTTGTTATACCGGACACAAACTAGTTTGTACAATATATGGATATAACAGGTTTAATATACTGTTTCATATTTGTCATAGTGCTCACATTGCTTTTATATTCTCTATAAAGTTTAGGATCCTATATTCTGTCCTAATGCCTTCTTCCCCACTGCTAGTCTTGACCTCCATGTTTTGTCTGGCATGAAATCAGTCACTTAACACAGAAACTAAGATTGTTCTTACTCTTAAGGCACTCTTAACCTATCTTGTCTCATAGTTACCCTGGTAACTGAGAACTTTTTTTTTTCTACCTAGCCCATAAATTAATTTCTTCTGTGCCCCCTCAGGTAATTTCCTTTCTTCTAAAGGAAAAGGCGAGAAATTCTCCTAAGTCTAGACAACAGTTCTTTCCACTGCTATAAACCGTTTGCTACGTCAGTGGTTCATCATGCATAAATATCCTTGCATGCTCTCAACCAGGTTTGCCAAGTACAAAGCAGTAAATGACAGCCCTCACATAACTTTGCTTCACTCACAATAGCAAATCACCCTTTGGGACAAAATAGAAGCCTTTTTCTTTCACTTTCCAGTTTATCTTCTAACTGATCTTCCTGCATCAATTTATTCTTCTACATTAATTCCAGTCTTTATGTATGTGGTTAAAGGCTAATCTTCTTAAAGTGAAAGTGGCTTAGTCGTGTCCAACTCTTTGCCACCCCATGGACTGTTAGTCCATGGAATTCTTCAGGCCAGAATACTGGAGTGGGTAGCCTTCCCCTTCTCCAGGGGATCTTCCCAACCCAGGGATCAAACCCAGGTCTCCTGCATTACAAGTGGATTCTTTACCAGCTGAGTCACAAGGGAAGCCCATCTCCTTAAAGCACAGTCCTGTTCTACTGAAATATGTCTTATGGGTCCTCATTTCCGCAATATAAAATATG